TTTTACCTAATGTAGATAAAACCCTGAAAAATATTAGTGCCAAATACTTTGAAGGTGGTACTCATAGTGCGGGTAAAAAAATAAAGCGCTTACTCTGAAACAAGTTTATGTAGTGTGCAGGATCTATACAATTTACAGGATAATTCAACTCATGTATAAAAATCGCATAAGCCGCAGTGCAATTGTCACTTTGACAGCGGCAAAAGTTACCTGCATCTTTTCCAGCGACAAATGCACTAGTGGTTTTTTCACTATTCATTTTCGAACCAATTATCGCATTATCCTTTCCCATATGACTAGTTTGACGTCTGTCAATAAATGAATAGTTTGGTGAATTTCTTGTTCGTTAAATTGTCCTGCCGAATTACACTCGAGGTTTGTATTTAAACCGAGTAAATTTGGATTGTTGCAACTCAAAACTGTTTCCTTTTAGCAATTGAACTCGAAAAACTGTCAACCTAAAAATGCTCCACCTGCGGTGTCGCATTTTTATTAGTTGACAGTTTTTCTCGTCTAATTGCTAGGCAACAGATTTTCATTACCTAAACCACCCAAATTTACTCGATAAAATACAAACTTCTTGTGCAATTATAAGTGATAAATCTATATATATACACGTATAAAATGTACTTCATCTGCAGGATTTACAATTTTCACAGAACCTACAGAATCTAGTCAGATTTATTATTTAGTATAATTTTTTTATTATTTATTATTTATTATAAGATCCACAAAGCCTACAGAATCAGCAGATTCGATAGAAAGTAAAAGATATACAGAAATGACATGATATTCACTAGAAGCTGTACTTTACAATTCCAGCGCTAATTATTAGTAATTAGAGCAACTAGTTTTTCTGTTTGTATGTAAAACAACAGCCAATAATCATGCAATTAGAGCGAACAGATAAATATTTTATTATAAAATGTGGTATAATTAATATTAATTTGACGAGGAATTATTAATTTCAGCATTTAGGTGTGACACTTCAAAGGATATTGTTATACAAAGGATTTAAATTTGTTCATTTGCAAATATACGTTCGAGCATCGAAATATGTGCGCGTATGTAAAACACAATTGGAAGACGTTAAAGGATTTTCGACGCTATTCACAAAGGGTTTAATAAGGGAAAATAAGGTCGCGCCCGTCCATTTTGTATAGGCGATCGCTTCCATTACGGGTCGTTCTTCATATTATATCAAATCGGGCATGAGACAAAAAAGTACAGAAATTTGATATCCTTTTAAAAGACATTACTTTGAGAAATTGCCGCTAAAGTGCGAACGTGAAATAATGGTCAGAAGTGTTGAGTAGTATTCGAAAGGGGGGTTAAAGAATGGCGCGCTGTTGAGCTTTCAAGTCTCAAGAACTGCGAAGTTAAAGTTTCAACTTTTAATTTACGGTCGAGTAGTAGAGAAACACTAAATGTACAGCTACGCAATTAGGAAATTGGTAAATGTTGAATAAAGCTCCCCGCTTATTTATGAGTTTGTCGTTTGCTTATGCTTTATAAAAGAAAGCCCATTCGTTTTAATAAAAGCGAAGATCTTCATAACTTGATTAAGACACTTTTTATGACAAATTTTAAAATTTATCTGATGAACGTGCCACGAAATAACGTACTATCGATTTATACGCGTTTTTTATGAATTTGAGAATTGCAAAATTTAATAACGCTACTTATAAATTGCGAGGAGTATTTCTCGGGAGCTTGTTTTCGAGGTGATATTTGCTACATTTACAATGAAAGACATTGTTTTGTGGAGTATCTCGCTGGAAGGGTATAAGACTCCACGTTAATCCCATTCTCGCGCAAATTGGAAGGAAATAAGGATGTGTACGAGTTCCAATAATTAGTTTCGTTAGAATCTTCTGCAATAATTGTTCACCCTTAAAGCTCCTCACGTTTTAGATAAAAATAACGAATGTTTGAAACTGAATATATGGGGTTGGATAATTACTATTAGCTGAGGATTAATGCGAAATGACAAATTTCACTTTTATACGTACAAACCGAGGGAAAAAATTAATAAACTCTAGGAAATACCTTTCACTTCAATATTTTTACATGTATAGTAGAAATAGTTCGTAAGCCGTTCGGGTATTGCCCTTTTATTTGTTGAACGCGGGTTCTAAGCTCCAAGTTTTGTTATTTAGCTCACGCAGAACGTTCGAAGTTCAGTATGTGTACGAGTTCCTTCCTTATTCAACGTTTATTAATTTTTGAATACTCCCAAATTACGTCAATGATTTCCTGAACAAATCTTATAAATCTGATCTGCACTACTCCAACCCCCAATCAACGTTCATTAGAACTGCTTCTTATTAATTTTTGTCTATTACTGATTTAATTAAATTGAGCTACATCTTAAACTGCATTACATTTTAACAGTGAATCTTCTTCTTCATTGCAATGATCTAACAATACGTCTCTCGATTTGATTGTGTACTAGAAACTTTATTTAACCCCATTTTTAGGGTACTTGCACAATAAGCTTCAATGTAATAATATGTAATATGTAATGGTTTGGCTCTGCTAGGTAAATTATTTACTCGTTTCGTGCATACAGGTAAAGCTTTTAGACGTTTTTCCGCCAAAATCATGGAACAAATAACGATTTTTACATTGTTTAACGTTTCGTTAGATGTGCCCTTAGATTGAGTCACTGACTGAATACGCTTTTATTGTGTTAGGGGTGCAGTCGGTATAATTGGAATGGGAAAATGTCACTTTTGCTTTTGTCGTTGAAATGACGGGTACTTTTTTTGCGAAAGATGTTGAAATGTGAAGTGGAAATTTCCAGAACCAACAAGCTAACATTTTCCAAATTACTTATTACGTATTTACGTGGATCGAATATTGTTAATATCTTTTCGAGGTAAAGTTATTTTCATCGGATTCATTACGTAGTTGACCACATTTCGTTTTAGGTTATACCATCTGTTCTAATTTAATTACCCATCTTTCTTTTACCTATATCGCATTCCGAAACCCAGAAATGGGGAGTTTAAGTTGAAGTTGAACCTGTAATTACTTTTTTGTCTTTAAACGTCCGCAAGAGCTAGATCAATCCTTACACTTCAAACGCAACATAGTTTTTTAATTTACGTTGACAAATTAAGTTAGGGGTGACCTCTGAACTTTTTTCCATGATCTTCGACTACGTTAGTATCTCCCACTTAAAATTTAATGGTAATAATACAATAGGTCAAAATTTATCTTTCATTGCTTTCGATTGAAATTTATAACTAACCTCTTTTCTATAATTCTTTTCTCGCCGTGGAAGGTCTGGAAATTTAACAATTAACGTCAGCAATCTGGGTTTCAATTGGATGCATGCTTAAAATCCGAGGACTTGAAAGATCTTCTACACAAAGATTCTTTGGATTGCAATCTTTTGATGATTGATTGGTAATACAGGATGGATGCTAATTCTGGTGGCAAAATAAGCAGTGTCATAAGCTCAATTCAAATGGGTTGTTTCTTTTAAGCTAGGTATTCCACAACGACAAATTAAATTGTTAGGCCCAAAGGCCGCTGTACGAAATTCTGTGGGGTTACTGTGGTTCCAAAGATAACAGTATATTTATTTTATAAACGTCTACTAGCACCACGTACTTCAATACGTACCTTTTACCTTTTTACCTTTTAACCTCCCCCGGGTGTAAAACAATACGTTTCTCCACAGCGAGGTACTCGGATACTACAACGTATCTACGGGGCTACGTGAAGGTCAGTTAGGTACATTGGCGCTATAGAATGATGCGCAAAGGACACATTTTATAGTTATGCATTAGATTTGTCATTTGGTTCATTTCAGTGTAAGAAATGGCGGTGATTAGTTGTGCAAATGATTGCGGTAATGTCGGGCAAAGTACAGTGATGCAAATTTTAGACGGTAAGATTTTTCGTTTTTATTATGAGTAGGATAAATAAACTTCTTTGTGCGATGTACCTTATTTATTACTTCGTTTATTTGTATAACTTGACTTATGATCAACAAATGGCTTATATGAATAGGTTACAATGTGATAGTGATGAAAATAATGAAAATCCTGAAATAATCTCGGATAATACCGAGTGTCTGATGACGAAGCACCCTTGAAATCCGAACATGATGTTATTCAATAATTTATTGATGCTGAATTAAATTACATATAAGCACTGGAGTGGCACCGGAGTATCTGGCCATTGACATTACGTACAAAATACTTGGCAATAATCTTTTATGCGTTATTTGCATACTGCATTTTTTATGGATTCCGAAATCGGAGCGACGTCAAGTCGAAGATAATAGAATAAATACTATCTTAATTGGAGCTTCTGTAATCAAAGGTGCTGACGAAATATTACGCAGCGATGAGGTTAACGTCCACATTCCAACATTGCAAATTAAGCACAATTCACGTGTGGGTTTTACCACGATGATAAATGATTGCAGTACGACGAAATAAAGGCTCTCGTGAAATACGCACGTCTCAGTAACAAATCAAAGCAACCGTGTTTCAACCGAGGACAAATTAATTAACCGCGCCAGAATATTTCTTTTCTTTTATAAGAAACATTCCGCGTTAAGTTATTTAACTTCATCAGTGAACAAAAGGGGATTGAACTTTGTACAATTTGTAACTATAAAATGTTCATTGCCTGTCGCAGTTGAATAACTAAACATTTAATGGGTAAAATTTGTCACTGGGTGCATGGTTTCTCCTTTTTGTAAAAGTTTGTTCACGTGGTGCTTTTGTTCCCACGATTGACATCAGACCGTTCCAGCGCTCTACATTCATGCTAAAAACCGAAAGCCACAGCATACCGCTACGAAAACAGTTGCTGAATTTCTAAAGATCAGCAGTAATGAATTCAAATGTCCCTTCCTGTTTCGGGGGTGATGGGGATACGCTGTAGTATACAAAATCATAATCATAATCCTAAATTCCCAGTTATGAAAAAAACAAACAATTTTACAACCAAATATATACTAAATAAACAAAAATATCTCGATATATTGGACGTGGAAAACTTTTCCAGGCAGTTTGTCCAGAAAGCTTCCTATCGCGCAGTTCATCGTGTCTGAGTCAGTCACTTAAAAATTACAATGAAGTGCAATTAGCTGACTTGGAAAGCTGCAAGTTAAACATCTTCACCTCCCTTTTAAAGTAATCAATAGTCTTCTGCAGCCCTACGATTAGGGAAACTTTAGGTTCCCATTTCAAACACCTCCTAGCTCTCGTGATGTCCGGTTTACGTTTTCGTGGATCGTCCTGGGGTTCTTCTACGTGGTCTATTTGGCTACCCCCGCCAACTAATTGTCTAATAATGGATGCGAATTCTGCAAATTTAACTTGGTTAATAACGTAGAAGTGCACGTGGGTTACCCGCCATTTATTGTAAATTCAATAGGATTTCCTATATTAACGGGTGAACTGTAACTTGATTCCATTAGGGCTATTAATCCCTCGACCAAATCCGAAACGTACATAAACGATCTTGTTTGGTTTCCGGTACCATACACCTGAAACGGAGGCGGTAAGTTATTGTCGAGGAAATTGGCATTGCACCGTGAGACTTCGCTCTTGCAACGCCTGAACGATGAAGTTTGAGGCGACTCGTCCGTCATTTATATGCATTCTAGGACCGAATGTGTTAAATATTCGCGCAATTCGAATGTTTAGGTTGTTCCGTTGTGAGTACACGTGAGCTAAACTTTCGGCGGCCCTTTTACCTTCATTGTAACACGCCCTTGGCCCTAAATATTTTCGTTTTAACTAGGCGAGTGGGAAGTTCGCTTACCGATGGGATTAACATTTCCCCAATACGTTTCTGACTGGGGGTGTTCTTCGGGATCGCCATAGACTTCCGAGGTACTAGCCAATAGTATCGTTGCATTTACTCTTTGCGCTAGTTCTACAAGAAGGTTGATAGGACTAGATTAGTACAATGAGATAGGTACCAAGCATGTTTATCGTTCCCAATGTATTGACCTTAATAGTTTTCACGGAATCCTGCATGTAGTGCGGTGGACTAGCTGGACAGGCCAAGTGGTAGATCTGATCGACCTCGACGAACAGCGGATTTATGACGTCGTGACGTATCAGGTCAAAGTTTTCATGCCCAATCCAATGAGCAATGTTTTGTTTTCTGCCGGTAAAGAAGTTGTCCACTACTATTACTTCGTGACCTTGTAGCATTAATGCGTCCACTAGATGAGAGCCAACGAATCCCGCACCGCCAGTTACCTGCGTTAAAAGATGTTCCCAATACGGCAACGGCGCAAAAGTGAGTCACATACCAGTATGCGCTTCTTCCTTAAATAATTTAGGCGTGGTACGTCTGCGTACTTCTTTGGGATTTGCATATCCAGTTCCTCCAACTTTTCTTCGATTTCTGAAATGCGACGTAAGGCAATTTCCAACTCTGCCTTTAAAAGGCAAGTACTCTCGGAGGAGCAGTCATAATCTTCCGTACTATTCGTTGACATTGTCGAAGCCAAAGATAGACAATCACCTAAGCAACTAAACTTGATATTTCTCTTACAAAATCTTTATTTTAATTCCTTGTTAATTGGCGGAAAACCACAAATTTGATATTTTTACCGGCGGTGTTTGATAAATTGGTATCGTTCAATAATGTATTAGAAATTGTGGTTGAGTAGGCGCAGTTTTCTAGTAAAAATTTACAGTTGTTATAAGAATTGCTTTAACACTTCCTGGAGCATACGTGCCGTTATTCTAATTTCCAAACACGCCCAGTTTCCCAACTAAAATTTGCTCTCAGCTTATGGAAGTTCTTAATATTGTGGTGACCTACGCGACAAGTGATACGCAATGTAACTTCACTTATCTTTTAATTATCAATTATGGTTGGAAAAGGTTCCTTTACTTTTACCAATTAAAATCTGCCAGAAATGATAACACTATAAAAATTGCGACCATAGCAACTAAACAATCAGAGGCGTAGGCTACGATACTAAATTCATATGGCTTCAGTATTCCTTATGTCAAGGTACATCTTTGTTGAAAATGGATTAATTACTCCTGAGAGAAAAGTACATCAGCTTTGATGCGGGTTGAATCACGTAATGTGCGATTTTACTTCGTACGAATAATAACTGTTCTATTTTTAGTTTCCGAATTTGTAAAACACAACTCATATGCCGCTACCATGTGGCAATGCTACGACCCGAGCACGGTGTCACGTATTTACTAATGCGAATTAAACAATGCACTTATTGCTATGAACCTCCTTAGCGCCGGTCCCAATTATTATATTTAAGTCCCCGCATTTTAAACGCGCTTCGTTTCCACAATCAATTTAAAAAGTGAGATTTTTGTATGAAGCAGTACAACAAAATTCTAACGGCCCAGTGGGCTCACGTTACAGGTTGTTGCGACATGCGTATTCTTGGTATTGGTAGCGGAGAAAATGGAGAAAGGGGTTGTAAAAGCAGAGAAAGATTTTTACGGGCTCAAAATATGTGTTAGCACTTAAAAATTATCACAGGGTTGTGAAGAATTATTGATGTTGTTGGTGGAAAGAGTGAAAAAAGGGGACCCTATAAAAATAGGCGCTCAGAGGATTTAAACTTGATGGAAAATTATTAGTGTTAACGGTAGCTCTTAATTTGGATTTATTTTTTCGAATGTCATAGATATAGGTAAATTTGAAATTTTTGAAATTTTAAGAGTTTGAGAAGTTAGGGCCCCAAATAACTTTTGTTTCATAGGAATTTTCATCGGGAGACGTTAAAGGACAATTTGTAAGCAATTAAAGTCTTGGTTTGCATGTATTTTGATTATGGACCCATTAAAATTGAATTTAGTATAAAAAAATCAGTTGTTCATTTAAACGTAGATCGTTCAGATTTAAATTTGCCTAAAGTTGCTCCCGATATTTTCATCAGGTTCTTCTCTAATTACTTCTAGGTTACTTCGAGCTTCTTATAATTTCCTTTCAAGTACATCTCAAGCCCTCCTTAATTCTTCTCAAGTTCCTTTCTTGTTCAATTCATTTTTTCTTCAAGTTCTCCATTTAATGCACTCACGCGATCGTCGTAGAAGAGGCCTATTTAGATTAGGTTTGGTAGACATTTCGTAAAACGCTGTTGGTCAATACTCATATTTCCTTTCTTAAAGAACAGTTGACTAATTAATTTCGTGCATCATCCATAAATAGTGTAATGTATCTTATAAACCGTTTCGTGCACTCGCTAAATATATTGTGAGCCTACAATAAATCTTTATCGTTGAAATTTGCACCCATTGCTATAGCTAATTATTTAGTGCTGTACGATAGGACTTAATCCTTCATGTGCCCAACTTCATTTCGGTCAACAAACATGACCCTCCTGATTAAAACATACACTTTGGCCTCTTAATGTATAATACATAATTCACTACATCATTTATGCTCAAATTTTAGGTCTAAACTTAAGTAAATTGCCTCTGTATTTTCAAATTTTGCTATTTTTACATTGAATAATGGTCGGTACTCTAGTGGTAGTATTGTTATTTATTTTTAAATGGACAGGGTTAGGCCAACATTATTTTGAACACCTTCAATTTTCTCAGTAGCGCATATAATTTGAATCGGATTTGACACCGGTATCATACTCCATTGGTACTGGATAGGAAAGCTTAATCAAAACTTCTCATGTGCATATTTGATACGTTTCTTTCATTAATCCGAATGTGTATCTAGTATGGCTGATTTCGTGCAGAATTAGAGCTCAATATTCGTTTGATGTATGATGTGAACGGTCATTTTTACTCTCGCTGGACATTTATACGTATTGCTTTGAAGTTTGTGAATCGCAAAGTGTGACGTATTACATTTATCCCTTGCGAAAGTGATGAATTACTAAAATACAGACCTTTTCTTGCAATTCCAAATCAATATTGTTCGGTATTTCGAGGTACGTTTTTACAATGCATCCCTTATAGTCATTAGTGCATAGCTTAAGGCGGGGGTTAAGTCGCTTGAAATTGCGAAATTTGTATAACATGCTGGATGATCTGTGCTGTAACTCTACCGTCTACCTCTACCGTGCAATTCCTACTGATGCTCTAGCAAGAGCAGAGCAAAGAGTCAATTATAACCATTGCCTTAGGAGGTATTGTAATGATTCTCTGGTTCATAATATTACACCTTTCCACATAAGCTATATCTTGTTCCTTTTTGTACTTTATAACATCTAATTTTATTAATTGAGGGTAGGTACTTAATTTCATGTAAACTATTGGAATTTGCTCTTGGGCAGTTATCGATAAGAGGGTGTGTTTCTGAAAGTATTAACTGATAATAAGTTTTAATTTCAAATGTTGTTCCCGCACCTTGGTTCAAAGTTGACCTTTTCAGTCTTTAAATGCAAATAATATGCACGTACCCAATCTCGCTGAAGAACTCCGAAAAAAATAGTAACCTACGGTTCCTATATGTCTTAATTTACTTTGGGAGGGTTGTACTAATCTGGAAGCGAAATCGAAAGATGCCTTAATTATCGTCACGCAGCTCGAAACGATACTTTCCCCCTAAATTCGGAAGAGCAATAAGCATCGGATCTTTTCGACGACGTTTATTACGTTATATCATTAATTTCGTGCTTCGCGTCGAAAATTCGCATGAAGTCAAAAGGATATCGCATATTGTACATGTATATAGTATATAGAACCTTTCTCAAGTTTTAACGGGTCGGGTTCGCCTTTAATATGGATGAGAAACTTTGTTTAAAATATTGACCGAAGTTAGCAGAATGAAATTGCTTTAATGTTTGACTTTCTAAACGAATTCCCCTGTTTAAATTTCCAATAATCGAAGTGGGCCGCGTGTACCTTAACTAATACGTTATTTGTCGGCAATCTTTTACAAATTTCGTTATTAAAAACTTTACTTCATCATCCGGTCTTAACGGTAATCGAATATTGCTTACAGTTTATCATTAACGACAGAAGAATGTCAACGGCGTTCTTCTCCATTATTTCCTATCATTCCTTTCCTTTATAGGGAATGACAGGTTGTAACCTAATATAGAAAAAAGCGGGTTAAGTACGCCGAAATACGTTCCTTCCCCTATTTATTTATACACTTCCACTGACAATATTAACCAAAGCTCGTTGTTATCCATCTCCTTTTTGTGTAAATAATAACACGAGAGGTTTAACAAATGATAAGTTCGCCTGACATTATTGTCAAAGCCCATACACGTGTATACCGCACAAATTAGATTCTCTCCATTACTGTAATCGTTATTTCCATGGCACCCGACATTGAGAATCCGTCCCAATTTAGGAATATTGAGCAGCAGCATCTTTTCATACAGTTATTGCACACTACATATACGCATAATAGAAGAAATTATTCATGATACACTTCAAAAGATTATCGCGAGATGAAGCGCGCCTTATGCAATTGCGAGATAAGCGATTGTTATTTAAATGTAATAGTTGTTTGGAAAAACGAACGGAAATTACTGAACTCAAAGATTTAATTGGCAGCTTGCGGAAGGAAATTGAAGAATTAAAAAATCGTTATACTGCTCCAGATACATTCCAATCCCTTGCGGAAAAGGAAGAATTTATTTCTGAGATTGCCGATCGCCAGCGCCGTGAATCAAACATCATCGTCTTCAATATCCCAGAAAGTACTGCCCTTAATGTTGAAACTGCCTTAACGGAAGATGCCAATAAAATTAAAACTACGTTTGAGCAAATTGCAAATGTTAACACTGCTAACATAAATGTGTTCAGATTGGGCCGAAGTAGGATTGAGGGTAAAATACGACCAATTAAAGTAGTCCTACAATCCTCTTATGATGCCAGAACTATTTTAAAGAACAAATATAAACTCAAGAATAACGCTGAGCGTATAGCAATTAGCGCCGACTTAACTCCGTCCCAACGGAAGTATCTAGATGTGGTGAGATCTGAGCTTTCCAGCAGACTACAAAAAGGTGAAAAGGATCTGACAATTCGGTATGTACAGGGTATCCCTAAAATTGTTAGTCAAAAAAACTAAGGGAAAGGGTGAATAGTGTTAATACGGCGTCTTTTAATCAATCTTTGCGTAGACTCAACCCTCAATTAAAACTTTATTTTCAAAATGTTCGTGGTGTTAGAAGTAAAATTGATAGCTTTTTTACCTATTCTCAAGACTGCGATTATGATCTTATTTGCCTGGTTGAAACAGCACTGAGTGCAGACATAATGAATAGTGAACTCTTTTCTAATCAGTTTCAGATATTCAGATGTGACAGAAGATTTGAATTAGTAAATAAAAAGTGGGGTGGTGGTGTCCTAATCTCAGTGAAATCTAATTTTTTGTGTGAACAAATTGACATGTCCTCAATAACAAACTCAATACATGCTGTTGATATCCTAGGGATTAAAATTACCCATAATAACACTGTCTTATACGTCATTCTACTGTATATACCCCCTACTACAACGTTTAGCGATTATGAACTGGTACTTAACCTTTTAGAGCAGCAAGGATATTGTGCGAACAATATC